TCTCTGAAGACCTCCTGTGATAGAGAAGTCACTACCTCCCTGGGTGACCCATTCAGTTTTCAAATAGCTCTTTGTACTTATTAGGTAGTTCTTCTTTATGTTGAGCTAATTTCCTGGAGAGAAGTGTCCCTTCCTAAGGTCAAGTATGGTTGCCAGGGACAGATCATTTGATGGTCTCTCCTCAGTATAGGTACCCTTCAAGCAATTGTTGGCCACCATCAATTACCATTTATGAAGCAGCATGACATCTTGCTGGAGAGGTAGGAGGTGGCATGTGTCAGGTGGGTCAAAACACTGCCACCAAAAGGAGGGAAATAGTGGTCGAAATGGTGGCAGTGTTTTGATGAAGAAAGCCCATGACTCAGAACCCAAGAGCCCCAGGAATAGGAATGGCAGTGCTCCTAAGCCACTGGTCCTACCTCAAGCCCAGCCCTACGTCACTCATAACGATTAAGATAGAGGAAACAACCCTTATAGAGATGAAGCTAGTTAAATGCCTCTGCAAGTGCTCCAGCCACCCCTTCCTCAGAGGTCATAGCTACTGAAGACCTGGAAGAGAAAGTTTTCTCCACCACAGTCCTTGGCTCTGTCAAATTATTCTACCTCATAAATTGATATTGATATTGATATTGATATCAATGGAAATAACACTAAAGATGTTGTATTACCATCTGCTTCATCACTGTGCCTCAAGGTACACTGAGCCTTTCCATCTGACTTGCACCTGAAATTTCCTATGTTTGTTGTCTTCCTCTGTGAATGTGAGCTTTTTGAAAATAATGCCTGTTTTACTTTTCTAAGTGTATCTCTAGCACTTAGCACAGTGCTTTGCATACAGTAAGAGCTTAACAAATATTTTTTTTTTCACCAACCTATTCATATTAGGATCCTTGAAAGAAAGAGTCTGCAGTTAAGAGAAACAGGTTTGGAAGACTAAGGTAGAGTCTGGAGAACAATTTGGAACTATGCCCAAAGGACTATAAAACTGTGCATACCATTTCACCCAGAAATACTATTACTAGAAAAAAAGTAAAAGGACCTAGAGGTATAAAATATTTTAGCAGCTTTTTTGTGGTGGCAAGGAACTGGAAATTGAGAGGATTCCCATCAATTGTGGAATGACTGAACGAGTTGGTATATAAGTGTGATAGAATATTATTGTGCTATAAGAAATGACAAACAGGATGACTTCAGAAAAAGCTGGGAAGACTTATATGAACCGATACAAAGTGAAGTGATCTGAACCAGGGAACACTGTACACAGTGGCAGCAACATTGTAAGGATAATCAACTGTGAAAGATTTAGCTATTCTGATTTATACAATGATCCAAGATAATTCTAAGGGACTCATGATTAAAAATACTATCCACCTTCAGAGGGAGAACTGATGAATTCTGAGTACAGATTGAAGTATATTGTTTTCCATTTTCTTTATTTTTTTCTTACTTTTTTGTAACATGGCTAATATGGAAATTTGTTTTACCTGATTTCACATGTATAATTGATATCATATCGCTTGTCTTCACAACATATGGGGAGGGACTAAAGGGAGGCAAAGAATTCAAAGCAAAAAAAAAATTAATGAATGTTATGTATAACCTATATCAGATTGCTTACTATCTCAAGGAGGGGGGAAGCAAGGGAAAGAGGGTTAGAATTTGGAACTCAAAACTTTAAAAAATGTTAAAAATTGTTTTAACATGTAATTAGGGGAAATAAAATATTATTTTAAAAATTAAAAAATAAATTAAATGAATATTAAAAATAAATAATAAATTTATTAAATAACAAAAGAAAGAATTAGTTGTTTTCCCAAGCTTGCTAAAAAAAAATGAGCAATAGTACCCAGGTATTCATGAACCCAGGCTCTTCTTCAAAACACTAATCTGGCGTTCCTAAATATAATCCAAAAATGATTGGATATCTTTTATAATTGACAGAGAAGTGTCTGTCAAAAGGATCAAAGAATCTGCATATAGGAAAGGATGAAAGATGTAAAAGAAGAAACTGGGTGGCTTTATTATATAGAACAATACGTAATTGTTCACCTTTCTATTATCCCTTACTGTTTGCAAACTACTTCTCAACAATGCCATAGCACAGTGCTTAACAGATGAGATTTCTATTTTTTGGTTTCTTTTGTTTGGCCCAGACCTCCAATTTCATTCGTATGAGGAACTCCCTGTTTGGAAAGCCCTTCCACTGATGCATGTTAATGAGTCATCTGTAACTTAGAGAATTGCCCATGGTCATCCAGTTAGTATGAGTCAGAGGCAACCTTGAAATTGTCCAGTCTTTCTAATTCTAAGGTGTGCTCTTTCTCCATTGTGCCATGCTGCTTTCCTAGGAGTTTTTCTACCAGCTGTTTGATGACTATACCTCTGAGGTGGCTGGTGTAAATACAGCCCACATCTCACAGATGAGGAAACAAAGGCTTAGGTAAATTGAATTTACCCAATGTCCCACATCAAGTGAGTATGAGACTCTGGTCATGGGATTGCATGTCAGGGTTCTGGCGGCCACATTGTTGGATACCTTATTTGGTTTAAAGAGTCCGGGAGAAAGAGCATGCTGTGAAAGCAAACCGTGTACCAGGAGAAAGAATTAAAATCTGAAAAATTAGTCCAGTGGCCAAAACCACTCTGGAACCATTGCCTTGAGCTAACATGCTTTATTGATGAACTGTGGTAAGAACAAGGATGGGAAGCCTTTTGGTACACAGATAGTCAGAGGTGACAGATTTAAGACTAGAAGTAACTTTGGAGATCATTTCACCCAATCCCTCCCTCTTTTTTGTACAAATAAGGAAACTGAGGCCTACGATGGTTAAGTGACTTGCTAAATATCACACAGAAATGTTGTGGCATCAAGGTGCACTCCAGAAACAAGTAAACTGAAAGAGATATGGTTTTCATCAATAGCTTTGAAAAGAGCTTGATTCCAGTCTCCGGGAAGTGGAATAAGTATTCAGAAGGAGGAAGTATGCTTATTTTGAGTTAGTATCACTCAATAGGCAATCATATACAAGAAAGGACTCAACAAATCATGAGGATTCAAAAATGAGGACAAAAAAAGAGACCAATATTTTTTCTGTTAAAATACACGCACACATAGAGTAGTGTCTCAAGTACTAGCCATAGAGTATTATAGAAAATAAAAATCATAAACCAGAGGAAAACCTAATAAAGGCAACTTGCCCTTCACTCTTGTGGTCTATTATGATGTCACAAAAACTCCTTCTCCTATTTATGGTCTTGTAATTCCCAGTTATCTGTATATTATCCCACATACATGACTGTGATTGTTTGCATAATGGACCATTTGTGACAAATGCAGGGGAAGAGCAGAAGCAGCTGAAAGGAAGACAGATGGGCCTCTCAGTTATGTATATTGTGACCCACCTGCCAGTCAGAGGCTCCTGGGAATCTGACATAAAGACAGAAAAAATGGAAAATGGGAATCGAACTTTTAAAAAAAAAAACACTATATACTGAGCAAAATAAATTGTTTAGAAGTGAACAGAGCAATAAGTATTTGGGGGGACCATATAAATCAAAATTTCAAAAGAGATTAACCCAAAAAGGGAGCTCACTTCCTTGGCAGTCACTTGCTGTATAAGAAAGAAAATGGAGATGGGAGATGGGAGTGAGGGAAAAGGTATCTTGGTATAAGGGGAAATGCCTGAATGAAAATGAATGATATTGTATTATATGCATGTTAATCATCTCCATCATCTTCATTTCCTCTCCCTATTCCCAGTCATTCATTCATTCATTCATTCATTCAATCAATCAATCAATCAATCAATCATTTATTTCTTCACCAAGCAACTGAATTAAAAAGTACATGGTAGGGAGTAAGAAGACAGAATAGGTAGGAGGTGGCTAGGTATGCAGGGCTCTGAATGGCAAACAAAGCATTTTGTATTTGATCCTGGAGGCGATAGGGAGTTTGTTGAGGGGATGGGGGGGGGGAAGTTGACATGATCATACCTGCTATTAGACTAAGTTAAGCAAGTTAAGCACGTATACAAACAAAAAACACCTGTTTTTTTACTTGCGGGGTGGGGTGGGGGGGACTAGTTACAGCTCAGAGTGAAACTTGGTGGCTGTCTTCCCAGAGCCATATAATTTAGTTGAGAAAACAAGATCTCCACATGTGAAACAGTTAAGTAATAACGAAAGATAGTATATGGTTGAGGAGTAAGCTGAGGGATGCAGATGACGGGGGTAAGAGTGGGAGGATTGGAAACAGGGAGAGCAGTAAGGAAGCCCCGACACAAAGTGATGAAGACCTGGATTAGGGTCGTGAGAAGGAAGAGTGGAGCGAGGCTAGAAGAGAGGTCTGCTTCGCCCCCAATCGATTTGCTTCTGGGCCGTAGTGTAACACTTTTTTTCCATCACCCACTTGTCCCTATCTCCCTCTTTGTTCGTGGGTTTGCTTTTCTGGCCCGAGGTTAGAAGGCTAGTCTCCTCCAGCTCCTGCCTCCTACAGCGTCTACATTTTGTGTTCAGCCGACCCGTACCAGGCTTACGAGTTTACTGACTGATTCAGGCCATCAGGGATTTCTTTTCCTCTCGGTGTTTGTGTGCTAAGGACGCCTGGGTTCAGTAGAAACACAGCTTGGTGCTTCCGCCTTTACATGCACTCGTGGTCCTCTCACATTCTATATCCCATTTAGTCCAGAATTCATCCCCGCCTCCCATTCTACCCCTAGTAATCAAATCACTGAAGGTTAGAATTGAAAGGAATCTTTAAGAATACCTAACATACATTATTACACCTAGCTTCCCACTTAATAGAGAAGGAAGTTTCTTAGATGCCACAAATCTTCCCTTCAGTTTTTTCTGGGCTATTATTCCCTGTTTTCTAACCCACACTCCTCCCCCACACAAATTCTAGCTTCTCAGATATATGAAAATTGGGCTGTGGTTTACAAAGTTACCCCACAATAGTCTGAATCATAATACAGTTCACTCTTAGTGGGTTTCTCTCCTAGAATATATGGAGACTTAAATGCCCGGCTACCCAGGAAAGAATTCTCCCCAGATGCCCAGAAGATACCCTTCTTACACCGGGAAATCCACACCCCAGACCCTCCAGCCTGGGACTTAGCCACAGTAGCATCTAATCAGGGCTTGGTGCCCCCCTGGGCCTCATTACCCCCAGTAGCTGCTTGGCTTCATTAGCAAGTTTAAAGCCCTCATCAAGGTCAATGGTGTGTGAAAGCAGAATATTTAATTCCTTGGGTTAGAGGCTAATACTAAGTAAAGGGAGGGGGGGGAGATAGAGGAGGAAGAGAAACAGGATAGCTTTTCTAACAGTGCCTGAAGCCCCTACAAGGAGGGAAAACAATCTATTGATGATTCCTTTGGTCATTTACTATCTTTCCCCATCATCAGATTTATCTGATTACCAGCTGTTCTCTGCTGTTACCCTGGGGGACTGGGCAGTCTGAATATCTTGTTACGTTCATTTCAAAGTGGAAGTGACCTTAAACCTCAATTAGTGAAACTTCCTCCTTTTGTAGATGAAGGAACTGAGGGCCAGAAAGGAGAAGTGACATGTCCATGGTCATAACAACAGTTAGAGGTAGAATTGGGAATAAAAGCCAGGTGTCCTGATTCTAAGTCTAGTACAGTACCTTACTTAGCCACGTTTACTCAGGTCAGTTGATTCTAGTGCATTCTTCACATTTCATACAAAAATCTTAAAACAACAACAACAACAACACTTTATTCCCTGTTGCCTTAAGTACTTAGTTACCCATCTTGATGAAGGATGTATTCATCTAGTTAGTTACCTAAGGCTCCTTGTTAACCTTTCCTCTTCTCCAGTGAAGGAGCAAGGGGAGGAAAGGCAACAGAGGTATGAAGATTTGGCTTTTCTCCACCATCCACTTCTCCCATCCTCAGCCTTACTTTTCATTAGGCTCAGAATGGAAAGAAAAAAAAAAAGAGACAGCCCCATCTGGAGAAGGAACTTAATTGGAGATTAGCATCTAGACTAGGATTTCTTAAGTACTCCTTTGTCAGTCTGATGAAACCTGTGGACTCCTTCACTGAATGATGTTTTAAAATAATTGAAATAAATGCTAAATTTCAATTAGAAAATGAAAATAAAGATTTAATTTTTCCCATCAAAGTTCATTTTTGTTGTTGTTATTCAGTCGTGTCCTATTCTTCATGACCCATTTCAGGTTTTCTTGGCAAAGATACTGGAGTGGTTTGCCATTTCCTTCTCCAGCTCCTTTTACAGATGAGAAAGCTAAGGTAAATAGGGTTAAGTGACTTGCCCAGAGTCACACAGCCAGTAAGTATCTGAAGCCAGATTTGAACTCAAGAGGATGAGTCTTCCTGACTCCAGACCTAGCCTTTTATCCACTGCACCAATCCAACCAAGTTCATGGATTCCCTGAAATCTAAACCATGGAGTCAGGTTTGGAAGCCCTTGCATAAAGGAAGTGTCTACAAATATGTATTTTGATTGACATGATCATCGACACCTGTACTTTTACACCGTCATTCTGAACTGTTCATCTGCTTTGTCTGAGCTGTAAATTTCCAGGGAAAGGCATTTTCTTCTAACTTGTTTGAGAGATGGGGGTAGATGTCGTTGTAGAGAAGAAATCATCTAGGGGTGTGTGAAGAATACAGCTGGAAGGGGCTCACAAAGTGATCATTAAATTTTCAGTGTGAACATTTACACTTTAGAAATAAACAAACACAGCAAATCAGGGCCTGGTTTATTATTTCCTCGATTACCCAATCTTAAGAAAGTAGTGGAGAAAATGTTAATGATGTAGATTCAATTTAAGAGTGAGAGCTCCTTGTCAAACATTCCCTCCCTAGAAGGGAAGGGAATATAAGTTGTTTGTGAGAGTGAAGGAACAGTCTTCCATTAATTAGCTAAGTGACCTTGAACAAGCCACTTCATTTCTCTAAATCTGTTTCCTCAACTGCAAAATGGGGATAATAATAGGACCTATCTCTCAGGGTTACAGTAAATATAAAGTAAGATATTTTTAAAGCACTTTAGCACAGTGCCTGACACATTTATTTCCTTCCTTCCCTCTGAGATTATAACGAAGACCTGATGAATTCTAAGTGGCGTGGGGGAGGGGGAGGGAGTTAGGAAATCTGAGGGGCAGAAAGAGACATTGTGTGGGGCAATGAATAGAGTGCTGGACTTGGAATCAGAATGATCTGGATTCAAAACTTGCATCTAGCATTCACTAGCTGGGTGACAGTCATAACCTCTTCATCTGTGAAATGCAGATGTTGATGATGATGATGATGATGATACCTAGTACTTCCTCAAATGCTTTCTCTGAGACTCAAATGACAAGTCCTTTGTAAATCTTAAAGTATAAGCTAAATGTCAATAGTTATTGCTACTATTCTATCCTGCATTTGGGTCAAGGATTTTTAGCCTTTCAACCTTTGTCCTTCTGCACCCTGTGGAGTTCCCAATTATTTCAGGGAACATGCTATCTCACCTTAGAGATCATTGTACTATAATAATAATAAGCATATATATTTACTTAAAAACATAAGACTTAGGCTACTGTAACTGAACATTTATACTCGAAAGCTTCCTCTAGGCTTGGTATAACTTACCTTTTCAGTCAAAATCATGCAATGATTTTTTTAAAACGCTTAATAAATGCCTATCGAATTGAACAGTCATGTGTATAATTAGAAAAATAATGGCATCTCACTCAGTAGGTATTTCACAGTATAGGTGGCAAAATGTAGTGTTTCATGGTACATAAACATTCTGTGATGCCAAATAAGCTGACTGAGAAGAAGTACCATGTGGCCTTGTAAAGTCAGAGACATTAGTGCCTACGTGAATATGGAGAGCAAACCTCCAAATCAACCAATTTTGCAGAACTGGGAACAAACTCTAGGTTTTAAAATCCTGGGTTAGGAAGACGGAGTTGTCTGAACACCTTATTACATTCATTTCAAAGTGGAAGTGACCTTAGACACTGAGTTGAACTTCCTCCTTCTACAGGTGAGGAAACTGGGGCTCAGAGAAATGAAGTGACTTATCCAAGATCATACAAGTATCAGAGACAAAACTGGAAATAAAACCCAAGTTTCTGATTCCGAGTCTAGTACTGGACTTGACCATATTTTTTTTTTTAGATTGGTTGATTCTAATATTTTCTTCACGTTTCCTCCAGATATCTTCTTAAAATACTTTACTCTTTGGGTATGCTAGTTAGGGCAGGTGGAAGAACCCAGTAGAAGACTATTTCTAAAAACTTCAAAACTGTTTTTAAAAACTACAAGCCTCTCAGATTGTACAGGGAGCCCTCATGGAAAGTATCTATCAATCATATTCTCCTTATTCGTTAGGCGAGTCCAGATCTGGACCATCTTCCAGCACTAGCTTCTTGTTTTTCTTTTTTGTGTTTCATTCTTTCTCCTCTTTTCTTTTGCCTTTTTATTTTTCCAAGTGAATTCCTCATTTTTCCCCCAGATTAGCCTCTCTTCCCAACATCCTGATTTCTCTTAATGCCTCTCTCCTTCCTGCCCCTGCCCCAATCACATCACAGGCTCAGAACTTCAAAGTCCTCTTTGGCATTTCCTTTTCCAGGTATTCCACAGTCAATTAGTATCCAAATATTATAAATAATTGCCTCAAAATTCTTTAATCCACTCTCCATTCTATTTTCACTGACATAAACCTAGTTCAGAAGGTCCTTAATCACTTCATGCCTGGGCCACCATAAGACCCTAGTCCATGATCTCCCTGCTTCTAGACTGTTCTCCTCCAATTTATTCTGAATACTGCATACAAATTAATTAATTGAATTAATTAATTCCCCTAAAGCAGCACTTTGGTCATCAGTGCAAGAGCTATAACAAGGAATTTTTATACCCAGGACACCACCTTAGTTCAAGCCCTCATCACCTCCCACCTAGATTATTTCAACGGCCTCCTAATTGGTTTCATTGCCTCAGTCCCTCACACTTCAGTCCATCCTCCACACTAATGCCAAAGTGATTTTCCTCGAGTCTACTACATTTGCAGCCTGGCCCTAAACTATCTTTCCAACCTCACTACGTATTATGTCCCCCTACACACATAAACACATGTTGCAGAATATTTATTTGTGTACTTGTCTTTCTATAATCCCTCTAACATTGGCTATTTCAATCTATTTTCATCTTTGTCAGTTTTCTGTGTGTGAAGGGAAACTTCAAAGTTATGTTGATTTTCATTGCCATTATTAACAGCGTTTATTATTAATATTCTTTCATAAGGTTATTAATGGCTTACAATTCTTCCTTTTGTTCATGTCTTTTCATTACTTATCCATTGCATGCTTTTCTTTCTTGCTTATCTAGTCTTCTTTTTACTTTTTTAACCAATACCAAAAGTTTTGACGCCTACTGCTTTATATTACAGTTTAAAGTCTATTAATGCTTTGCTCCCTTAATCACATCATTTTCCTTGGGATTCTAGAACTTTTGTTCCTCAAAATGAGTTTTGATTGCTTTTGTCTCATTCTACAAAGAATACTATGGTAATTTCATTGGATTATACTTAATCTGTAGATTAATTTAGCAAATAGTTATTTTCATTATATTTGAATAGCCTAGCCATGAGCAATGAATACCTCTCAAACTATTTAAGCCTTCCTTTACTTCCATAGTGCTTTGTAGTTGTATTCATGGAAATTGTGTTTGTGTGTTAATAAGTTAACTCCTAGACATTTAATTTCATTTTGTAGGTATTTTAAATGTAACTTATCTTAATGTCATTTCTTCCTGGCTTTACTAGTACAGATTAGAAATATTGAAGATTGCAGATTGACTTTGTACCTATCTACTTTCTTAAAGTCATAAATTATCTTAATGCATTTCTTCATGGATTCACTGCAGTTATCTAAGTACATCTTCAAGTCATCTGCAAATATGGATAAGCTGTACCCTTTTCACCCATGTTTATATCTTTAATGTGGCTCTCTTGTGTTATTGCTATAGCTAACATTTCTGTAACAGTGTCAAATAGCAGGGAAGAGGGGGGAATTCGTGTTTCACCTCATGTTTCTACTAAGGTCATTTCCATTTTTTCTCCATTCCAAATAATGACACTATTTCATACATGTTGGTGTGCATACATG